AAACAGGACTAAACAAACGACTGGACTCCAAGAACCTTCCTTTTCCAGAGTCTCCCCCTCCAGAGCCAGAGATTGTCACGGCCCTCCCCCAGTGCTGCTTACCCAGAAGCATTAAAAATGAGGCTTCTCCCAAAGGTCTCGCTTAGGGGAATATAAAATAAGCAGGGTGATAAAAATGATTTTCTCGTATGTGCTGCTCTCTACGTGTTCATTCTTGTCCGTAATTTTACCAAGACCACGGAAAAGTCTGTAGCTTCCCTCACACCCACACTAATTCCTCCACACAAAGCTTTCCTTTCCTTAGGCGGCTAATGCCTTCCTAATCACCAGGGTGTCTGCTGGGCCCCACAGCTTCTCTCCTTCCTGGACCTTCATTTCTTGATATTCGCTGCAGAGTGAGACGCTGCTCAGTGGTCAGCCCGAGATCCAGCATGGGTGGACCTGAATACAGTGATCTGATGACACCTTAAATTCCAGATGCCTGCCAGCATAAAGATCAGAAGTAGCAGTGGCTTTGGTGTCAGGTATTCAAAATGACCCACCATACTCACCTGTCCTTTCAAAGACAGAGAGCTATGAAAAATATTTCGTTGTTGAGACCCCCCAGCCTGTCCTGCTCTGGAATTAACCTAAGGGATATAGTTGCCCTTTTTCCTTTTTAGCGTTGCCTCCTGAGACCCACAACCCTGTAATAAGCTGTCTTGTTAGTGCAATAGGTAATAGAGAGCACTGGGCACATAGAAGTGCAAGGAAAACCCTTCTTTGACCAGCAGTGGAACCCAGACCTCCCACATGGAAGGCCAGAATTCTGCTACTGAACCACTGATGCTTGTTTCTCAACTGCAGGTCTACTCAGAGTCTCTGGAAGGACTTCGAAAAAGCAATTCTAAAACAGCTTTTTACACAGCTGTTCTCTTTGGAAAACAGGTGGCACGTAGAAAACACTTGCGGCAAAGCCTTGCAATGGGGATTTATGTAAAGTAGCACTATAAAGTAATGTCACTCAAATAAAAATGTCTGATTTGAAAGTGCCCAATTCTGGAGGGGGGTATGCGGGACTCTCTTCCCAAATAGATAATAGACTTCTAGAAAAATATCCAAAAATGGGGTTGGCTCAGTTGGTGGAGCATGTGTCTCAGTCTCAGTGTTGTGAGTTTGAGCACCATGTTGGATGTAGAGATTACTTAAAATCTTTAAAGAAAAAGAAATTAGTTAGACTCTTGTCTGGTCCTAAATCTAGTGTGGACCTACGGAAAGCTAATTTCCTCCCTGGCTGAAGCAGTCTCTTTGCTCTCCCATTGCTTGGTGCCTCCCAAACCCTTTCCTTCCATTTTTTTCACCAGTTCTTTACACAGTGAAAGTTCAGGAGGCTGGCTCATTGGGTATGGGCTGAGTTACACAGGAAAATTGGGGTAATAATTGAATATTGCACCTCTGAAGCTTCTTTTGAGTGTATAGAAAAGAGCAACACACCATCTTGGCCACAGAAGGTAGCCAGGGAAAAAGAATTTGACATTTCCTATTGACTCTAGAATATCCCTTCTTCAACCAATTTGAAAACTTCCCCCTGCCTTTGTCTTTGTATGAGAGTCCAATCTTCACTTACAGTTAGCCTGGTACAGACCTGCACTATTTTTGATATATATAGCTGGAACTGACTTTTACACCTAATTTGAGAGGATCTGAATTCTTTGTAATTGGTTGTATTTAGTGTTGGTTGGAGATTGCTGACAGTTGTTTTTCACTTCCACCACCTCATTGTGTGATTTCTATTGCTAAAAAAAAAAAAAAAAAAAAAAAAAAAAAAAGAATTTCTCCCTACCTGAGTCCTGAGATTGAGTCCCACATTGGGCTCCTTGCTCAGCAGGAAGCCTGCTTCTCTCTCTGCCTGCTGCTCCCCCTGCTTGTGTCTCTCTCTCTCTCTGACAAATGAATAAACAAAATCTTAAAAAAAAATCTTGCAGAAGATCAACAAGGAGATAGAAGACTTAAACAATATGACATAACAGACATCTATAGAGTGCTTCAGCCACCAAGAACAGAATAATACAGTTCCTCTCAACTGCGCTTAGAACATTGTCCAGGATAGACCATACACTAGGCCATGAAAAAAGCCTCAGTATGTTTAAAAGGACTGAGATCTTTAAATTTTGAGACATCTCACAAACCAGTACTATCACATAGTCTAGTTGCAAGTTGGCAAGTGTGCTGGGTAGTTTGTTTGGTCCTTTTTCACTTTGTCATAATTGTTCAGTGACACATACGGAGGTGGCCATGGTCACACATAATGTGGGCCACTAACCTGGGAAAGCAAAACAGCTAAACGGAAGAGACAAATATTCCAGAGAAGTTTCTCTAGTGTCAGGCTCACAAAACCAGGGAGAAATTGCTCCATGGAAAGTAAGGAGGTGTCAGAGGATCACTTTCTCTCCTAACTGCGTCTCTCTTTAAAACTTCAGCCTCTATGTCACAACATGTCATTGCATAGAAATGCTGTGAATCACCACCAACCACCATACACCCATGACCTTGATTTTTACCTTGCTCTGACAAAACAACCACAAGTCAGCAGATAGGGGTCAACACAAACTGTCAATCTGTGTTCTACAAAAACTGCTCTGGACATAAGAATAATATTACTTTGGGGCTCCTGGGTGACTCAGTTGTTTAAGCCTCTGCCTTCAGCTCAGGTCATGATCCAGGGTCCTGGGATGGAGCCCTGCATCTGGGCTCCTTGCAGGGAGCCTGCTTCTCCCTTTGCCTGCCACTCCCCCTACTTGTGCTATTTGTCTCTCTTTGACAAATAAATAAATAAGATCTTAAAAAAAAAAAAAGTAACACTAGTGTATAAGTCACCACTGCATGTATTCAAAGACATGTACAAAAACTCTTTAAATGACTTTGACAAATGGGAAAGATACCCTGTGGAGCTAGAATGATTTTCATAAGTGACAATCACAAAATACCTGTATAGAAATTAACACAGAACAATCCACACATACAGGAGGAGGGCAAGGCTAGGAAATAGGGATGTCAAACTTGACTTCAAGTTTAATGAAAACCTAATATACTTCCTCAATGAGGGAACAGCAGCAGACATAACCCTGGGCTATGGCAAGAAGAAAATTCAGACAGGATAGAAATCTTTATAAATTAATTATTCACACATTGAATATTATACTCATATTTTTTCTTATAATGTTAAACTAACCTGGAATAAAACTAGAGAACCAAAGAAGAACACCAAGACCCGGGGCACCTGGGTGGTGCAGTGGGTTAAAGCCTCTGCTTTCGGCTCAGGTCATGATCCCAGGGTCCTGGGTGCTGGGTTCAGGGCCGGCATTGGCATCGGCATCGCATCAGGTTCTCTGCTCAGCAGGGAGCTTGCTTCCCCTCCTCTCTCTCTGCCTGCCTCTCTGCCTACTTGTGATCTCTGTCAAATAAATAAATAAAATCTTAAAAAAAAAAAAAAGAACACCAAGACCGTCAACAAGTTTTAAATTTTTTTTTTTAATAGGAAATAGTTTTATTTCAAAAAAGTATATACTGAGGGCATCCTACTATCTTAAATAGGATCCCGGGACAAGTTTTAAATTTTAAAACTTTGAAATTTTGGGGCACCTGGGTGGCTCAGCGGGTTAAAGCCTCTGCCTTCGGCTCAGGTCATGATCCCAGGGTCCTGGGATAGAGCCCCACATCGGGCTCTCTGCTCAGTGGGGAGCCTGCTTCCTCCTCTCTCTCTCTGCCTGCCTCTCTGCCTAGTTGTGATCTCTGTCAAATAAATAAAAAAATAAAATCTTTAAAAAAAAAAAAACTTTGAAATTTTTCCTGACAGAAAAGTGACTTCATGACAATCTTTAAGATGATAAAAGAATTTGGGAAAATATTGATTCCTTATGTTTTCTATGCACTTACAAGAATAAACAATGAAAAATATGCTTATATTTTAGAGAGAGAGATGTGGTATCAGCACCTGGGCACACAAATACTGAGAGTGGCTGCTGGGGGTGGGTGGGCTCTGCATCAATGGTGACCTTCACAACAGACCAGGTGACCTTGTGTATAGGCAAGGCCTCAGCAACTGGAAGACAGGGGCTCCTAAGATTCCATGACAGCTCTGACTTTCCAGTTCTGTTATTGTGACTCCGAACAGTTACCTGGCAGCCTGGGTGCTCTGTCTGGCATTCTTACCAGAGCCTGAGCTGTAGGCAGTGCCCCAGAGGGACACAGCTATAGGCAGTGCCTCAGAGCTCTGAGCTCTGGTATCTTCTGCCTTGTTTTTGTGGTTAAGAATTCTTCCAGTTGTGGAATGCTGACAAAGTTTGGCCCCAACGTGAGTATGAATTTCATCTACATATTTTCAACTTGTTTAATTCCATTTTTTCCCTCGCTTAATGAAACTTCAAGGTATAATTTACAAATTATAAAACTCACTGGGATTGTATATTTCAGTGATTTTTTTTTAGTAATTTACCGGGCAGTGCAGCCATCACCATAACCTTTTCTCTCTCTCTCTCTTTCTTTTTTTTTTTTAAAGATTTTATTTATTTATTTGACAGAGAGAGATCACAAGTAGATGGAGAGGCAGGCAGAGAGAGAGAGAGAGAGAGAGAGGAAAGCAGGCTCCCTGCTGAGCAGAGAGCCCAACGCGGGACTCGATTCCAGGACCCTGAGATCATGACCTGAGCCGAAGGCAGCGGCTTAACCCACTGAGCCACCCAGGCGCCCTCTCTCTCTTTTTTTTAAAGATTTACTTATTTACTTGACAGAGATCACAAGTAGGCGGGGGTCGGGGTGGGGGTGGGGAGCAGGGTCACCGCTGAGCAGAGAGCCCTATGCAGTGCTGGATCCCAGGACCATGAATCATGACCTGAGCCGAAGGCAGAAACTCAACACACTGAGCCACCCAGGCACCCCACTTTTCACTTGTTTCTAATTATTTGTGGGATTTCTGCTCCCCAGGTTCTGGCTATACTTCTTCTACCACCACAAGCTTCAGCATGGCAGAATCTCTCACCACCTTCTCTGATCCAAGGACAGAAATGAGCATCCTGGAAACCAACCAGTACTTGTGCTCCCAGCTGGAAAAAAGCAAACAGAACTTCCGGGACCTCATGGAGAAATTCCTCACATCCAAGGCTACTGCTTACGTCCTGGCCAACCAGCTGCAGAAATACAGTAAGCCCCTGGGTTCACAGTCACCAGAGTCATAAATGATGGCCTGTCTTCCCCATGAGAAACTAAACACTGTCCAAACGTTGTTCTCCCTCCATCCAAAATCTTATCCTGAATATACTCCTGGAAAGGTAGAAGTGGGTATTTTACCCTCAATTTGCAGAAGATGGAAACATTGAGGCACAAAGGAATAAAGTTTACAGTGAGAGGTGGGAGGCGTAGAGGCTAAAACCTAGTTCCGACACTGAATTATTTTTTCTCTCTTAGGAACATGTGTCAGATTCTAGAAACGTATAACGTCAATGTTGGCTCAAATATCTCAGGGATTCAATTCCAACTTTGACTAAGTACCCCTTTGCAAAGCATTGTGCTAGCTGCACTAGGAGTGTATGAGTATTCTTTCCTGCTTTATAGGAGCTTAAAGCTGTCTGTTCCCAACTGAACTGCAGATATCTGGAGATCAGAACATCGATAGCAGACTCAGAGGGAAGTCCTGATGCCTGGAGCAAGATTTTTTTTCCCATATGAGTTCTAAGAAGCTGTTCCTCACACTCTGGTGAGATTGAAAATATTTCCAGGAAAATCAGAGACTGTAATACCTTTTTCGTCTCTCCCTGAATATGAACTTTGCAGACAGCAAGCTAGTCCAGGATCTGGGCTTTGAGACGGGTAGCCAGAATAAGGGTGAGGCTAAGGGGCAAGCAAGGCCTCCAGTCCAGCAGACCCAGTCAGTGTAGGAGCTGGCCCTTTCCTCTCCATGCTCAGCTCTCACATTTGGAAATCCTTGGACAATCCCAAACCTGTTGGTAATGGGGGCCAGGGAGGGGGTTGATGTAGTGACCAAGGGAACCATGATGGAGTGAGGACACATGAGAGACAGGAATATTAGAGGAAGATTCTTGCTGATATTAAAGTGTGCTTTCAGATTTCTACAGTTATTTTTCACTAAATCAATGGGGGATAAAATTTGCTATCCAACTTACTAGACATGGAGAAAAAAGCTAAAAAGCCTACTTATTGGGGCTCCTGGGTGGCTCAGTGGGTTAAAGCCTCGGCCTTCGGCTCAGGTCATCCCCAGGGTCCCGGGATCGAGCCCTGCATCGGGCTCTCTGCTCAGCAGGGAGCCTGCTTCCTCCTCTCTCTCTGCCTGCCTCTCTGCCTACTTGTGATCTCTGCCTGTCAAATAAATAAATAAAATCTTTAAAAAAAGAAAAGCCTACTTATTAAAGAAGGAAAAGATGAGATTTGGGATGTGGAAATATAAGGTTTTCTTTTTTGTTTTGTTTTTTGTTTTTTACATCACTCATTAAAATCACAATTGTAAGACAAATTTTTTGAAGCTAGAAAAGAAAAAAGATACCACCCTAGATCTTAGTGTAAAGGTATTACAGTGCAGTGATTAAGAGCACGTATCCTGGGGCCAGACTTCTGGGGTCAAATCCAAGTTACCCTCTTTGTACCTCAGTTTTCTCATCTGTAATGGTAATAAGAATAATAATTACCTTTTCAACTAGTAGTGGTGATTACATGATACTAATTTTTTTCTTTTTCATTTCTCATTTTTTTTTTTAAATATTTTATTTATTTGACAGAGATCACAAGTAGAGAGAGAGAGAGAGAGAGAGAGGAGGAAGCAGGCTCCCTGCGGGAGCCTGATGTGGGACTCGATCCCAGGACCCTGAGATCATGACCTGAGCTGAAGGCAGAGGCTTAACCCACTGAGCCACCCCCTTCTTTCTTATTTTTTTTTTTAAAGAATGTTTATTTAGGGACACCTGGGTGGATCAGTCGGTTAAGCGTCTATCTTTGGCTTAGGTCATGATGCCAGGGTCCTGGGATTGGGTCCTGCATCAGGATCCCTGCTATGTAGAGAGTCTGCTTCTTCCTCTCCCTCTGCCTGCTGTTCCTTCTGCTTGTGCTCTCTCTCTTTCTCTCAAATAAATAAAATCTTAAAAAAACAAGGCAGCTGTTTAAAAAAAAAAGAATATTTATTTATTTGACACAGAGAGAGAGGGAGAAAGAGAGCACAAGCAGGTGGAGTGGTAGGGAGAGGGAGAAGTAGGCTCCCTGCCGAGCGTGGGCTTGATCCCAGGACCCTGGGATCTTGACCTGACCCAATGGCAGACCCTTAACCGACTGAGCCACCCAGTCATCCCTACATGATACTAATTCTTGAAAATCTAGTAGAACAATGCCATGAAGGTACTATGTATTAGTTTTCCCTCTAACACAACACCTGGTAGCATTTGAACATACATCTTTCAGATTTTTGCCCCTCGGGATACCTGTTACATAGTTGTATCCAGATAAACTTGGAAATCTTTGAAATTTTGGGGGCATTATTGAAACTCTCAACATGGAGAGCTATGGAGACTTCCCCAAAACACAGGATATCAGTACTTCATGTCCTAGGTTAACGGTTTACCTAAGAGGCTATGAGGCTTGGTAAAGTGGCCCAAGATTTGGAGTCAGACCTCAGGAGATATGAATTCTGACTTGTCTCCTTCCATTTCAGTCATCTTGAGTAAGTTACCTGCCCATGAGCTTCTATTTCCTCATATCTAAAGTGCCATATAGTGTGGGAGATTGAGGAATGAGATGTGGGAATCCCAGCATGGAGCCTGGTAATGGGGTTCCATTTGTCCTCGGGATGGACCCTGCCGCCTCATCTGAGGGCAGCAATCACAGCAGCATGTCCAGCTTTCCACTGAGGCAGGTGTGTGTATTTTCTCAGAGAGTGAAGAGTACAAAGGCCTCATCAAATCCGTGCTGGAGGAGGAAGTGCAGTTTGACGGGGAGCTGGCAGAGAAGACGAGACGGACTGCAAGGCTTGGGTAAGGAGGTACCTGTGTGGGAAAGTGGGAATTACTATGTGAAGTGGGGCAGCCCAGGCTGCTGGTATAAAGAGCGCTTTTGTCCAAGGAGAGGGATAAAAAAGTCCATGGCAGGCACAGAACTAGATAAAGACCACTGGCGGGGCTGTGGGAATTGGGTGGTAGAGTAGCTAGGTGTCTGGGGTTCTCCCTTAAATAGCATATGAATGAAATGGAGACAGATACCTGAGATGGAACACTAGCAGTGTGGCTTCTAGCTGTGTGAGCTTGGGCAAATTTACTTGACTTTCCTGCATCTCAGTTTCCTCCACTACTTTACCTGTAAAATGAAAATACAAACAGTATCATAACCCTCAGAGGGTTGTGAAGATTAAATGCATGATTCCGGGGCACCTGGGTGGCTCAGGGGGTTAAGCCTCGGCCTCCAGTCCAGGTCCTGATCAGGGTCCTAGGATGGAGCCCCTCATCTGGCTCTTTGCTCAGCGGGGAGCCTGTTCCCCCTTTCTCTCTGCTTGCGTCTCAGCCTCTTGTGATGTCTCTCTCTCTCTCTGTGTCAAATAAATAAATAAAATCTTTAAAAAAATGCATGATTCCAAGTTAGAATCATCTCTGACACATACGAAGCTCTCAACAAATATTTTTTATGATTATTATACTTTATTTTTTATAAGTGTGGTGGTTATCATTAATGGACTAACATTTTCTACCACAAGAGAGATTTTCCCAGCTTTCCAAAATGCCTTTTCATGATATGTTTCTTCTCAACTTTGATTTTTTTTCCCCTAAGTACCATACTATGTGGAGCACTAAATGTAGGGCTATTGGGCAGATGGATGACCAGGCAGCTGTTATCTGGAAAATAGGTTATTAATGTGCTGAGGACTAGCATGGTCTATCCTCAGAGGGTTTCAAATATAGGCCGGATTGTGGAATTCAAGATGTCTTTTAGCCCTCTGTTGAAATGAAATCTGAGAAGCTCAAGTGTGTAAAATCTACTAAACCAGAGATACCTGATTGCAGGAAGCCTAGGTCTGGAGCCTTCACCAGCTCTGACACTTTATAAAAGCTCTGTGGGATAGGGTTTGAAAGACGGTCTGTGGAATATCACTCAGTAGGAAAGCAGGGAGGAGATTCAGGCATCAGATGAGACAGATGACTATAAATGTCTAGTCCAGCTTTAGGATTATGTGGTTCTCAGTATTAACTGAATACCTGTTTGTGTGTGTACACTCTGTCGAGCGCTGTAAGTTGTGTGATATGTGGTGCTGTCTCACATTTTGGATTGAAGTCCATGCTAAATATTTGTATAATCATTCAAAAATGGTGAAAACCCACTTAGTGTGATGTAATTGTTGTTACTCAGAACTAACTTACTTCATTGTCTCCTGATTATGGCTTATTTTCATGGCACTCAAAAGAATGCTATCCTTCTTGACCCTTTCATTGATTTTTCTTTTCATCCTTTGAATCAATACCACGTGCACCCAGCCAACACTTCTATATCTGGCTTGTGTGTGTGTGCACCACATTTTCTGCATAATGATTGATGACCTATAGTCCATGGAAATGGATGTGGGCTGAATTGAGGAACTGCAGGGGCATCTTTTCAAAGTAAAGTTAATTAAAAAAGAAACAAACCCAGTACTGTTTCCTCATTCCCTCTGCCATAGGCAAGTCACACAACTTGTGTAAAAATTCAACTTGGGGGGCGCCTGGGTGGCTCAGTGGGTTAAGGCCTCTGTCTTCAGCTCAGGTCATGATCCCATGGTCCTGGGATCGAGCTCCACATCGGGCTCTCTGCTCAGCAGGGAGCCTGCTTCCTCCTCTCTCTCTGCCTGCCTCTCTGCCTACTTGTGCTCTCTGTCTGTCAAATAAATAAATAAAATCTTAAAAAAAAAATTCAACTTGGGAAATTTCTTAGGGGCCTTCTATGAGATGTCTCTGCTGAAACTCCCATAAGCTGTGTGCCATTATATTTTACTTTTTTTTCTTACTTTAGGAAATATGATCCCCTGATTCAGGCTCAGGCACGAGAACTGACCCACTTACGACAGAGGATACAAGAAGGGAAAGGTGTCTGTTATCTTTTCATTCAGCATACAAAGAGCACGGTCAAGTCTTTTAAGGGCATCCTCAGGAGCACTGACATTGCCCATTACCAGGGACAGAGATTCTGTGAACAACTGGCCCACGGAAGCCAGCTGGCAGAGAACCTTGCCAGCAAACTCGTCACTGGTAAGTTGGCTTACAAGCTATGGAGACCCTTAGATCCTCCCAAAGGTCCTCTCCTCCCGTAAGTCTCCATGCTTCCATGACTCTAAGAGTGACTTTTTATCCAGATGTCCTGTTTTGTGCCCTTCTCAGCCTATTGATAGTGATGCTGTCGGGTAGAAATACCTAGGAGCACTCACCTGGGCCGAACGTGAGCCCCCACAGACATTTCCTCTTTCTTTTAAGGATAATTGATTTACAGTAAAATGGCACACTGTAGTGTCAGTGCTGTGAGCTTTGAGAAAGGCATACACAGAGGTGTAAGCATGGCCACAACCAGGATACAGAACAGTTCCATCACCACTCAAAGTTCCTTTGTGCCTCTGTGTAGTTGAACATTGTCTCCCGCCCCAGTTTCTGGCAGCCACTGGATCTGTTTTCTCTCCCTACAGATTTTCCATCTCCTGAATGTATCAGTCATTTCTTTGTTTTTCCACTGTTGAGTACTATTCCATTATATAGATACACCACTTTTATTTATCTACTTGCCCAGTGCAGGGCATTTGGATTATTTCCAGTGTGCGGCAATTATGAATAATAGCTATCAAGATTCACATACAGGTTTTTGTGTGAAAATACATTTTCGTTTCACTTCACTTGGGTAAATACCTAGAAGTGGGATTGCTGGGTCACGTGGTAAGTGTATGTTTAACCTAGAAGAAACTGCCACACTGTTTTCCAGTGTGGCTATACCATTTCAGAGTCCCGCTGGCATTGTGTGAAGGTTTCAGCTGTTCCCCTATATCAACTTTTAATAATTTCAGGTTTTTGTTCTTTTGCTTTTTATCTTTTTAGCAATTTTAATAAGTGTAGGTGCGGGAGAAGACACTGTGGTCTTAATTTGCATTTCCTTAATAGCTAATGATTTTAAGGATCTTTTCATAAGCCCATTGACTGTCCTTATATTTTTGGTGAAGCCAGTATTCAAACATTTTGTCATTTTAAAATTGAGTTGTTTGTTCTTATATTATCAAGTCTTGAGGGTTCTTTACATTTCTGGATTCGAGTCCTTTATGAGATATTTAACTTGCGAATATTTTCTCCCGGACTATGGTTTATCTTTTCATTCTTTTAGCAGTGTCCTCAGAGAGCAGAATTTCTTAATTTTAATGAAGTCCAATTTATGGATCATGCTTTTGTAGTTACATATCTGAGAACTCTTTGCCTAAAACAAGATCCTTTTCCTTTCCATATAAATTTTACATTCAGCTTACCATTACCTGTTTTTTTTTTTTTTAAGATTTTATTTATTTGACAGAGATCACAAGTAGGCAGAGAGGCAGGCAGAGAGCCCGCTGAGCAGAGAGCCCGATGAGGGGCTCAGTCCCAGGACCCTGAGATCATGACCCGAGCTGAAGGCAGAGGCTTTAACACATTGAGCCACCCAGGCACCCCCATTACTGTTCTAAAAAAACAGCAGCAGCAACAAAATCCTCTTGGGATTTTGAGTGGCATTGTTTTGAATCTATGAAAAGTTTGAGGAGGATTGACAGTTTTAATAATGCTGAGTTTTTTGTTTTTTGGGTTTTTTTTGCCAGACAGAGATCACAAGTAGGCAGAGGCGGGGGCGGGGAGCGGGGTGGGGGTGGTGGTGGCGAGGAGCAGGGTTCCTGCTGAGCAGAGACCCTGAGATCATGACCTGAGCCCAAGGCAGAGGCTTAACCCACTGAGCCTCCCAGTGCCCCAGTGCTGAGTTTTCTGGGGCACTTGAGTGGCTCAGTTGGTTGAGTGTCTGACTCTTGGTTTTGAATCAGGTCATGATCTCAGGGTCCTGGGATTGAGCCCTCTGTGGGTTCTCTCCCTCTGCCTCTCCCCTGCTCGCTCTCTCTCACTCAAATAAATAAATCTTAAAATAATACTGAGTTTTCTAATGATCATAGTGCCTTGTTAGGTTGAGGAAGTTCCCTTTTTAAATTTATTCATATTTGAATGAACAAACAAATCTTTTGTTTTTTGTTTTATGATGGTGACTGCTGACAGTAGGGAAAAAAATTAAGTCTCCTAATGAAACATGAGCAGGCATGGTCCAACCAAAAATGTTTCCAAGTTATTTGAGAAAGTTCCTTTTTATTCCTTATTTTCCAAAAGTTTTATTTTGAATAGCTGTCGAACTCGGACAGATGTATTTTATTTATTTATTGAAATGATTAGATATTGTATCATAAGACCCTGGGTCCTATTAAAACCCTGTGGAAATTATTTTTTAGCAGGCAGTCAACCCCATTAGGTTCAGACTCCCAAGTTCTGTCTCACCTTTCAGTGCCTCTGATAGGCAGCTGTTTGGGTTGGTCCAGCAAATATGTTACTCAGGTTTAGTCTGGACTAGGTGGTAGTTTATGTGGTGATTCAGTTCTCTAATCCTTTGTCATGATTCGTTGGGTCTATTCCACACATATTCGGTTTGGGGGTGAGTCCTGGCACTTTTGTCAGCTCATAGACCATTTTCTAGCCTTTCTTCTCTCTGGTATTTCTTCCATACTTTTTAGTTTCCCAAGGGTCCCTTTTCCAAATTCCTCTGTTCAGAAAGATTGAGTTCACTCAGAGATTTCTCTTCTCACACTATGTTGCAGTTCTGCATCACTGGGGCTACTTTGAGAGCAAGGAGACAAGAAAATAGAGAAATAGAAAATAAAAGGGAGCATTCTTCACACTTTTTAGGCAAGAGGTCCCTTCTTCCTGGTTCTTTTGATCAAAAAGAGTTAGATTCTCTTTTGTGATTTAGGTCACAATTCAGCTGCCTTGACAATATAGTTCTGCAACTGTGGTGGTCTCTAGTTGGGGTCAGGGAAAAAAAAGGAAAAAATAAAAGAAAGGGAGATTCTCTTCATACACTCTGGCATGCACAGGTGCCTTTGTCCAGTCATTTGGTTAGAAGGGCTAGGTGGGTTCTCCTGAAGTTTTTGCTCCTCAGAGATCGCAATGGGTTCTTTATGAGAGCCAAATAGGACACACAACCATGGTCTAGCCAGCAGCTAGCTGTGTGGCAAAAATGGATGTTACAGCTGGAGAAGTCCACAAGGCAGCTAAGCAAGGATTCTGTGCATCGGACAAAAGACATTTTAAACTTTTTGCCTTGGCTTGGTAGCAGATGTCATGGTAATGATTTGCCATACCAGGAAAACACCATTCAGTGTTTCTCAGGAAAACCTGCCAGGCTACTTCTCTAAAGACACAACCTAAGCCGCCTCTCTCAGAGCCTTCTGAACAAACATGCAGAGTGTTCGTTTCTGATCATATAGGCCCTCATATTTGTGATCAGATAGGATCACATATGATCAGAAACACAGTACTGATCATACAGGCCCTCATATTTGTAATGTGTGAAATGGGACTTGCTCAATTTCTGACTGGCTATTTCTGTTTTTTTGGCTCACAGAAAATTACAATGATAAGAAGGATGAAGATGGACAGGAGCCATTGGCACCCAGGTAAATGAATATGAAGTGATGATAGAATGGTGAAGTTTAGAGAAGATTCCAGAAGCAATAGCCAAGAGGTCAAATGCCCAGATGCAGGGAAAAAAACTCAGAAACTGCTGATTGTACCTATTTCTTTTTTTTTTTAATTTTTAAAAAAGATTTTATTTATTTGAGAGAGAGAGAAAGCATGAGAAGGGGGGGAGAGTCAGAGGAAGAAACAGACTCCCTGCTGAGCAGGGAGCCCCATGCAAGACTCCATCCTGGGACTCCAGGATCATGACCTGAGTCGAAGGCCATTGCTTAACCACCTGAGCCACCCAAGCACCCCTGATTATACCTGTTTCATTCATTCATTGTACAGTATTGTGTTTGTCTTTTGAAACAATGTTGTCTGTTCTCTGTGCAGTTCTTATATTGGTTACCATTTCCTAATAATTCATGAAGTTTAGTTAGTTAGAGTCAGTCTGACATAAGGGCCAGAGATCCCTGGTTTCTGTATTCTGAAAACCTGTACGGTTAAAAAAAAGAAGAAAAAAACAAACCAGAGTGAGACATTGTCTCAGGAGCCAGTATTTAGGGGACCACTTCATATTATATTAAACAAAAGTTGTCCACAACATTTTGAAACTGTTATCCTAGGTCTTTGTGTGTCCTTAAGTATATTTTCTCAAATAGCCGGGTCTACTTCCTTATCCACATGTTATGCAATCAGCACACAGAACAGCTGCTGCTGCTCCCTTCTGCCCAGCTCTATGTACAGTAACCCCCTGTCAGAAGTGGATTGTTTTTTTTTTTTAAAGATTTTATTTATTTACTTGACAGAGAGAGATCACAAGTAGAGAGGCAGGCATAGAGAGAGGGGGAAGCAGGCTCCCCGCTGAGCAGAGAGAACCCGATGCGGGGCTCGATCCCAGGACCCTGAGACCACGACCTGAGCCGAAGGCAGAGGCTTTAACCCACTGAGCCACCCAGGTGCCCCAGAAGTGGATTGTTAATGCTTTCTTTCTCATCCAGTTGGCCTCTTTGATTTCTGGTGTCTCTTCCAGGAGCTTCAGATAGGACCACTTCTAAAGCTGAGGTTCCAGGTTGCCTTAGTTTAATCTCCTGATTTCTCTCCTTCCTTGCCCCCACCCCAGGCTCAGCAGGGAGCTCCAGGAGGAAGTGAATGAAGCCCAGGAAGACTCACTAGATGAACAGTATTTGACTCATTCCAGTCGCTGTGACTCTGACCAGCCTCCCAGCAGCAGTGCCTTCCCCTCTGATGTGCAGGAAGCCAGCTCTGCTGTGGAAGTCACCAGTGAGTATTCCCATTGTAAAGAGAATAAAACCACCAACACTGGAAGAATGGAGAATAAAGCTCCAGTAGCTTCTACATGCTTACTGCCTCTGTCTAGGCTGCATGAGATCATCTCTGCAGGCAGGCCCTAAAGATTGACCTCGAAATAGTGCTTAGGCTGAACACAGTTCTGGTACCAAGTTTCAAGTACAGGTCCCTGGTGGCTCAGGTAATTTGCATTGTTCCTGGTCCACACCTCATCTCAGTCATTCTGGCCCCCGCTGGCATGTGCGAGCTGGTGGACTCTAGGCAAGCCAGACTGAGGGTGAGGGGATCATGACAGGCTCTCTGCTCTCACTTCAGCTGTGTACAGAAATCTAATAGACCTCCTCTAAGATGAAGCATCTTAGTTGTATGTGTATAGGTATTGTTTATGTATCTGAGCATTGCCTGAGAAATACCAGCAGTTTTGCCTGTATTTTTGGAGGTGGAGTATCATTGTTCTAGTCTCCAGTCTTCATCTCCCCTCAGATGACTTGCTTCCTTAAAAAGTTCCATCTTAGTACCAGAACATCTGCTGGCTTCCCTAAGGACAAGACTCAGCTCTTAGTAACCCTTGGGTACATGGCTAGGGTTCCCATCCTTTGGGTGACACCATTTTTTAAAAATGTCTGTGGGTTTAGTCTCAGTGCTATAATCTAAACCAACAACCAGCCTATCTACTGGGAAAAAAAGGCCTAATCTACCAGCCATGCCGCTAGCATGCCCCTTTCCTAAGAAACCCCAAACTAGTCAGTGTAGTTCCTCCAGGCATATACGAGTCCCTAGGGGAAGCAGCCTCACGGATGTGTGTGTGTGTGTGTGTGTGTGTGTGTGTGTGTGTGTGTGTGTTTGGAGATTAAAATCTCAACCTTCATCTCCTTTTCCTTTTTTGACTTTGACTTTTCTTTGAGGATAAAAGTTTGGACTGTTAGAGAATTACATGTCTTAAGTCCTCTTGTAGGCATGAGTAAGAGATTTTTTAAGATTTTATTTATTTATTTGAGAGTGAGGAGAGAGCAGGGGGAGGAGCAGAGAGCGAGAGGGGCAAATAGATTTTTTGCTGACCACGGAGCCCGATGTGGGGCTCGATCTCACAATCCTGAGATCATGACCTTAGCAGAAATCAAGAGTAAGATGCTCAATCTACTGAGCCACCCAGGCACCCCAGAAGGAGACTATCATTTTTTAATTTTTTTTTAAAGATTTTATTTATTTATTTGACAGACGGAGATCACAAGTAGGCAGAGAGAGAGGAGGAAGCAGACTCCTGCTGAGCAGAAAGCCCGATGTGGGGCTCGATGTGGAGCTCGATCACAGGACTCTGGGATCATGACCTGAGCCGAAAGCAGAGGCTTTAACCCACTGAGCCACCCAGGTGCCCCAAGAAGGAGACTATCTTAATCCACTCAGTGTTCGCTGAGTTTTTTAATGTGATATAAGCCATGTTAGGTTTTGTCTTTTTGCCAATGGTGGGTGCCTTTTATTACCCAGGCAGTCCCCTTACAGAGGCTTCCTCATTCCTACTTTCCATTTCACCTAGAGATGTGACATCTATTAAAGATGTTCAGTCATAAATCATGTGGGAGAGGTATTTAGTAGAGACATTCCCTGTACCGGAAAGTCTTACCTCAGAGGTGCCCACACCTCCTCTCCCTTCTGAGTAGGGTTCTTTGGTATTTTTCTGCCTTGTGTCAACCCCCTTTATGCTTCCCAGATCCTTGTGTGAGAGGTGGTCCTGTGGAGTTTGCTTAGCACTGGACCATGCTTTGAAGTTCTTTAAAGGGCTGTTAGAGGAAGTTCCTTTGTTTTCCCTGATGAAAGAGGAGGTTGGCAGAAGAATGGCAAAAGGCAGGGATCTTATTGAAAGGCCACCCTATTAGCGATAAGGATTCTTCATCTTCTACCTCATTCCCTGTCTGGTGGAATGGCTGCAGAAGATGAGATCCACAACCTGCACCAACACCTGAAGGAAGTTCTTTTAATCAATGACTGCCTTCAAGAAAAGCTGGAACATCATTTCAGCATTTCTGACCAAGGAAACGGTAGGGAGGGGCCCAAGACTGCCTGATTCTGGCATTATGTACCTTTCCAAGGATTTGCCATGTATGTTTCAGGGCTTCACAGATTGCAAGAACTTGATATACCTCACTTCATTTACTCTTAACAAATGGCCCAACTAGGGAGAATAGGGCAGTTATGAATATTCCTACTTTTTAGGTGCGTAAATAAGCTCAGATAGAGATTTGCCCCAAGGCTGAGCTATGCCTCCATCTTTGAGTTGTCTGGCCTCCTAAACCCTTCTTATGACTCCTCTGCTATATCCTTTCTGTTGCCCCTCTCCTCTCACGTGGTGGTCATCCAGTAGGACTCAGGTTGCTGAGTAGCACATTCAGCAGAGTGAGGGTCTCTGCTGCTGCCATCCTCATCCCCTTCTCTAATGTCTTCATTACTCTTCATTGTCCTCAGCGTGGTTCTCCTCACATCCTTCTCCTGGATTGCACTCACACAGGGGCCATCATTCCTCAGTCTTGGATTGGGTCAGAACAGTGACTGGGCCTCTCTCCACACCAAAGCAGCAGCTATATCGTGAGAAAAGTGTCCTTCATAATTTCAGCCATTGGGTGTGATAATAATAATGAGCTGTCACTTGTTAAGGGCCTTGTGAAAATGAAGCTTCTCTCCCATTACACCAAAGACCCAACCTTTGAGTCCCCTAAGTTTTCTTTTCTTTTCTTTTTTTTTTTTAAAGATTATTTATTTGACAGAGAGAGAGAGAGATCGCAAGTAAGCAGAGAGGCAGGCAGAGAGAGAGGGGAGGAAGCAGGCTCCCTGCGGAGCAGAGAGCCCGATGCGGGGCTTGATCCCAGGACCCTGGGACCATGACCTGAGCTGAAGACAGAGGCCTTAACCCACTGAGCCACCCAGGTGCCCCTCCCCAAAGTTTTCTTATGGGCTGAGAAAGAAGAGAGAAGGAATTGCAGAAAGCATTATCTCAAGTGAATGTGTTTAACTTGGCCTAAACTGTAATTATTTCCTGGACTAGGATGCACGTCTAACCTTAACAGGCAGAGCTTGGAGTCTGCTGCCCAGCTGTACAATGAAAACAGAGGTATCAGGGAAGAAAGTCTGAGCCTTCTGGCTCACCTGAATCGTATTTCCAGAGGTAAGTGGTCAAAACCCACAAGAGACGGTCACTCTCAGCCTTCTTGTCTCTTGCCGTACCCAGCTATAAAAACAAAAAATGATCAGGAGGCCACAGCTTCCCAAAGCCTCATGACTCATAATTCTCAATCTAGAGAGGGCTCCCTCCTAGGTGCTCCCTCTACAGGTCCCCAGACTCCAGGCTCCAGGAAGGAGTACCTCTGAGAAATGCACCATTTTAGATACAAACCGCACCTCACTAATGCAAGCCTGAGAAGAAAAGAACAATCCTCAAAGGTGAGAAGACATAAGAGAACAATTATTTTAATTGAGTAAAATTTGACAAGATTAGATAAAGTCTGTCTTAGAATGCTGAAAGAACAAGCAAACAGAATTTAGATTCTAGGTCAGTAGTCTTTGAGGCAATGTGAGGACCAGAAATGAGCTTAAAAGGAGCAAAACCCCAATTTTGAAACGGATGAAAATAGAGTACTAAAAAATTGAGATAAGTGTAGCTTATATTGATCCTTGGAAAAATACAAATTTATTGCACTCAAACGATAATATTCCAGTCACCGTATGGTTCCCAACTCGTACTACTGAGCAAAGTCAAATCAAACCAAATTACCCTCAGATTGGCAAAAATATTCACAAACCTGCAAAGTATCTTCCACCTATGCCCTATACACCAGACTCAGTATTTACGAAGTTTTTGCTGTGTGTAATGCCCACCCCGATAGACATTCCTGCCTGATCTTGTAGGTGTCAGTTAAGAAAGCTCCCGTAAGGGGTACCTGGGTGGCTCAGTGGGTTAAGCCTCTGCCTTCGGCTCAAGTCATGGTCTCAGCGTCCTGGGATTGAGCCCCACATCAGGCTCCCTGCTCAGGGTCCTGGGATTGAGCCGTGCATCAGGCTTCCTGCTCATCGGAAAGCCTGATTCTCCCTCTCCCTCTGCTGCTCCCCCTGCTTGTGTCCCCTCTCTTGCTGTCTATCAAATGAATAAATAAATAAAATCTTTTAAAAACAAAAAATTAAAAAATGATTTTACTTACTTGAGAGAGAGAGCACGTGTGTGTGCACAGGCTGGGGCAGGGGCGGTGGGAAAGTAAGAAGCAGACTCCCGACTGACCCACTGAGAGGGAGCCCCATGTAGGCTCTCAGTCGCAGGACCCTGGGATCATGACCTGAGCCAAAGGCAGACAAAACTGGGCCACCCAGGCACCCCTCCTTTTGCCTTCTTGTACCTATGTTGCTTTTGTTTCCAAGGACTCTTCTAAATAGGACAGACCTCAGATTACTGGAACCAGTTGCCTGGTGGCTCAGAGAGTGGAAGGACCTGGGAGTTTGTATCAGTTCCAGAGACCCTACCTGTAAATCATTATCCATGATCTATAGGTATAGGCAAAGGAAAGCCCAGCTGCTTGACTTGAGGAAGACTTTGTGGTGAATTAACTTTGGGAAGATGTAATCTAGAGGTGAACTTGGTAAATAAAGACCCAGATAAATAAACAGAAGGAAATCCAATTGAGAAAGAGATTCACCTCAGATCAAAAGAGGGAAGAGTTAAATCTTTAGGTCCCATGGGAAAGCAGCCCATGGTGGGACAGCTAGAGAGAAAGAGAACCATGGGAAATAGGGCTGGTCTCCCAAGTAGCTTAATTTTTTAAAATTTTATTCTTATTTCTTTATTTGACAGAGACACAGCGAGAGAGGGAACACAATCAGGGGGAGTAGGTGAGGGAGAAGCAGGCTTCCGGGCTGAGCAAGGAGCCCCATTGTCAGATGCTTAACAACTGAGCCACCCAGGCGCCCCTCCTGAGTACCTTTAGCTCATGCTGTCATTGTAAGAACCTGGTCAGGTTTTGCCTAACACAAATGCCCAGATATCACAGCTAGAGATTCTGATTAAAATGGTTTCACAGGTGTTTGGGGTATTAGTTTTTAAAAGTTTCTAGGTGATTCAAATATGTGGCTACCAATGAGCAGGACCACCAATCTACTAAGATCTCAGCTCATCAGTACAGAAGTATCCCAAATAATGCAGTTACTTATGAAAGGCCCATACTAGCCATTAATGGGATTTGCATTCCTCTTTCAACAGTCTTGTTTGTATAGCACGGAAAAAAAGAGAAAAGAGGTAGATGAATGGGTTAGATCTATAACCGGTCTCTCTAGAGCAGATAAAGGAGATTAAGGTTTTAGATATTTTGGGGGGGGGGGATTGGATGTTTTAACTTGAAAATAATCTTTACACCAAATCTAATGCCTTCAAAAGCTTTTAGATCTTACTGTCCTAAAGAGAATATAGCAGCAAAAAATCTAAAACTTTACAGAACAAATTTGTATTTATACTTGGCTTCCCTATGCTGAAGTGAAATATCTAAAAATAAAATCTTTCGGGACGCCTGGGTGGCTCAGTTGGTTAAGCAGCTGCCTTCGGCTCAGGTCATGATCCCAGCGTCCTGGGATCGAGTCCCACATCGGGCTCCTTGCTCATCAGGGAGCCTGCTTCTCCCTCTGCCTCTGCCTGCCATTCTGTCTGCCTGTGCTTGCTCTCTCCCCCCCTCTCTCCCTCTGACAAATAAATAAATAAAATCTTTAAAAAAAATAAATAAATAAAAATAAAAATAAAATCTTTCCCCAAGAATTAGTTTGGAAAGAATTTAGTGATAAGGAACACCTAAGAATGAGAAATTACTTTTTGAGTTTTCACTTAGAAACTCAGTTGATCTAGTGGAAATATTCCTCCAAATATTCCTAAGGAGCGTCAGTGTTGCCATGTGAACTGGGGAGACCTCCAGCCTTTGGTGCTTCCACCTAGCCAGACCAGAACGTGTTACTGAAGGTTCTTGGTCTTGTCACGAGAAGAAATTCAAAGACAGACACGTAGCCCAGTGGATTGAGTAAAGAAGCAGGAAAGTTTATTAAAGCAAAAAAGTACACTCTTAAGCTATGAGAGCAGGCAAGCTCAAGAGAGAGGTAGAGCAGCGTCCCCTGGGGGTTGGGTTTCTTATAGTTGTTAACTAGGGGGCGGGAAGCAGGGCTTTGACTTTTTCTTCCTAATTTGGTCAGGGGGTTCCTGTAATGGCATTGCCATCTTAGCTGGTCTGGTTTGATCTCGCTTCTTGTAGTGTGTTGGCCAGGACAGGCCTCTGACCCTCCCAGTAGCTGCCCTGACCATCTCGTTGACCTCCATATCCTGTCAGACCCTAACTTCCTACTCTAACAACCTGATGGAAAATTAATGTTACAGGCTCTTGGCTCTAAAGGGTGTAAATGGATCAGTACAAGCTTTAACTTTGCTTTTATTTGCTAATTTTCCCTTTTCTCTTTCTGATGACTCCTTTCTTTCTCTGTAATCTCTTAAGAAGAGACTCTATAAAAGTCTTATTCCTGTCCCAGCCAAGGTACTCAATATAGCTTGGAGCCTGTTGGCTTCCTCCAGATTGGAGCCTTTCCTCTCCCTTTTTTTCTTAAACTTAGTGACATAGTAAAAAGGCTCAAAGCATGGATTTTAGTCTCAGGATTTTCATTTATGGGTCTTGTGTCTTTAATTACTGCTTGACCTATTGATAGCACGGTTTCAAGGCCAAAAGTGGAATTGGATTTGGATAAATAGATTCCAGTACCAATTCCAGCTTGGAGGGGGGATGTTTCCACACCAACAAGCAATTTTTGGGATACCAAAAATTGAATTCCATTCTGATATTACCTACCAGGTTTACAGAGTAGAAGATAGCATTAGGTTCCACAGGTTAGGGGTTCAGTCCTGTGAGACTGCCCCCACCCTGGCCCCCACTTCAGATTCTGGTAGCAAATCCAGGTTGTCACCTGTGTATCTTGACTATAAATCAGTTCCCTGAGAACCCCCTCCTAGGGTCTGATTAATTTGCTAGAGTGTCTCACAGAAGTCAGAGAAACATTTTACTTACTAGATTACTGGTTTATTTTTTCCATGTATACGTGTGTGTGTGTGTGTGTGTGTGTGTGTGTGTGTGTGTGTGTGAGAGATCTCTGCACCCAGTGTGGGGCTGGAACTCATGACCCCAAGATCAAGAGTTGCATGCTTGGGCCGCCTGGGTGGCTCAGTGGGTTAAGCCTCTGCCTTCCGCTCAGGTCATGGTCTCAGGGTCCTGGGATGGAGCCCTGCTCTCTGCTCAGCGGGGAGCCTGCTTACCCCCCTCTCTCTCTGAGTCTCTGCCTACTTGTGATCTCTGTCAAATAAATAAATAAAATCTTAAAAAAAAGTTGCATGCTCTACTGACTCAGCCAGCCAGGAGCCCTGATTACTGGCTTATTTTAAAAGGGTGTAACTCAGGAACATCCAGAGGAAGAGATGCATAGGGCAAGTCATGGGGAAAAGGTACAGAGATTCCATGCTTTCTGTGGGAGCTCTACTCTCCCAACACCTCTACGTGTTCACCAACCCAGAAACTCTCTGAACCCACATCTTTTGGGTTTTTAATGGAGGCTTCATTACGTAGGCATGATTGAATATATCACTGGCAGTTGATGACTGAAGTCAACTTCAGCCCCTCTCTCATCCTCAGAGGTCAGGGGGATACGTAAGACTAAAAGTTCGGGGCACCTGGGTGGTTCAGTGGGTTAAGCTTCTGCCTTCGCTCAGGTCATGATCTCAGGGTCCTGGGATAGAGCCCTGGATCAGGCTCTCTGCTTAATGGGAAGCCTGCTTCCCCCTCTCTCTCTCTGCCTGCCTCTGCCTACTTGTGATCTCTGTCAAATATATAAAATCTTTAAAAAAAAAACAAAACAAAAACTAAAAGTTCGGACTTTCCAAATCGTACTGTTGGTAATCACCTTCCATCCCTCCAGGGCTTTCCCAAAGTCACCTCATTAATATAACAAAAGACTAATGCCAAGCATTTTAAGAGTTCTGCCAGAAACTAGAACAAAGATCAAATTTACATTTCTTATACATCACAATATTACAGATTATATGTAAGGACTGTGTTGGTTTTCACGTTCTAGGACTCCTACCTTGGCACCACCCTCCTATTTAAAAAAAAAAAAAAAGAATACACACACACATAGACGTACATATATGTATACTATTATATATATATACACACACACACACACATATATATATATAAATGACGTATTAGGAGCATGAAAATCTTTTTTCATGCAAAATATGCTCTTATTTCTAGAACAGACTATTTCTGAATATACATGTTTGAAGCAAGGCACATCTCCTGGGAGGTGTGAAAGGTCTTCATTTTTCTTCAGGAGAGAAGAATGAAGAATAAATTGATCCTAAGGGAGGTGATGGTAGGGATCTGTCTAGCCCACTTGCAGCAGTTTGAGCAGGGCTATCAGCATTATGAGGTGGTGCGACCCTGTATTCCACACCACAGGGCACATGATATATTTTAGAGGACTTACCCTCTAATCTGCTAGTGTAACTCTTTCCAGACTGTAGTTTACCACCACAACTTACCCACTTTTCAGGTTGCACTCAGCTTCACTTCTTCCTTAGCTGTCACTTCAGCCTCAAATACCAGCAGAACTAATAAAAAATTCTCATTTAATTTTTTTTCTCTTCTATTTCAGGTAAGAACTAACAGTGGAAATACGAAAAGTTCTTATTTCAGCTATGCTTAGTCACAGTCTCCCCATTGATGAGAAAAACTAAAAAAAAAAAAAAAAAAAAAAAAAAAGTGAAATTCCCAAATAGGAAAGCAAGAAGACTTCATCTCTCAGAATCAACTTTCACAGCCACTCTAGGTTTTTACTCCAGATGGATCGTTTGCAGAAATCACAGCTCTTCAGCCTGCAAATTTGACAACTACATAAGAAACAGCAATACGCAGATTCACTGATGATCGTGAGATGCCTCACCCTTTTCTCTCCCCATCCCCATCCTGTGGATAACTGGAGTCAGCAGCAGCTGGAAGAAAATGTCAAGGACTTGGATCAAGAATAAGTCAGAATAATGTCATTGCTGACTGTTATCAGCTCTTCAGCACATGTCCATTTCCTTGAAGGATGAAAGTTTAGAAATCTCAAAGAATGGAGTTTATTTTATATATAGTCTGTTGCCTGTCATTTTTAACAAATCAAATTTACAAAGTGTTCTTTCTCCAGCTAACAACAGGAAACTCGGTATGTCTGCTATATTTATACCCCAGAATGACAGCAACCAAGGCTGGATGCATCACTTCATTCCAAAATTAAATGTTATTGAGCACCTGGTATTAGATACAAACTTCATTGTGTCTCACACTCTGGGAAAGGAGATAACTCAGGCAAAAATTCTGCCTTTACAGGTGTCTGTAAGCAGGGCAGCAGTCTCATACGTGTCTCCTGGTGAGGAACCCAAAGAAAGGATGATACAATCACTGCCGGAGAAGGGTCCTGAGATTTTTATTCACCCTTGTACTTCCTGCGTAGGTCTGGCAAAAGTTGCATCCTAGAGGTCTCTGTTTAGAGTACACAGGGAGAAATAGTATATCTACAGGAACTGGTAGGTTTCAGATAACTCCACTCTCATTTGGATTTTTTTTTTTTAAAGATTTTATTTATTTGACAGAGATTGCAAGTAGGCAGAGAAGGGGGCGGGGGGCCCTCATTGGATTTTTTTCCCTGAATAAGTATCCATTGATTTGTCTTTTGCAATTAAATATGAAAGCCAGACATCATATTCTGAAGCTTTGAAACATTAAAGTAGCCTCAAACTTACCAGATTTCCAGGCTTGAAGGTTGATTAATGTAGGCAGAACAAATCCTAGGTGGCAGGAAAGGATCCTTTAGATGGGTGTGTACAGCAAACTAGTGACTTACATTTTCTTGTACTGGTAGGTAGTATTGAGGACTGCCATACCTTCCTGCAAGGGGAAGACCCATAGAGGGCCAATTTTTAGTCCAGGACTGAGCTGTTCAGTATCCTAAATTTTACAATCAAAATTATTTTCTTTGAAACATTTCCAACCTACAGAAAAGTTGAAAGAATATAAAAGGTCCCCCAATAATGGGTCCGTGATTAAAGGAGCGAGACTGATACAAGGCAAAGGTCAAGCAAAGCTTTATTTCGAGCCAAGCATCCAGAATCAAACCGACCTTCAGACCGGTTGGGGCCGCCTCTTACAGAGAGGGCGACCCCTCCCTGCCTTACAGACTACCTTTTATAGAGCAAAGGCCATGTGGTTGGGCCTGGCCACGCACAGGTGGCCAATGAGATTATAACACACAGAGAAAGCTGCACAGTCGTGGTAGGTCCCACATGGGTGGCCAATTGAACTACAATTCACCCCATAGTAGCTATTTGAACTAGCCTATCACCTTGGTCAGAATTGGCGCTCAAAAGGCACCCAAAAGGCGGGGACCACACTCCTTGGTAGCTAGGGAGACAGTATGTGAGGTCTACTGATAGGATGTCTCCACCTGACCCGACTCATCCCTGCATTCGGGCCATTATCTCCACCTGACCTGACCCGCCCTTGTATTTGGGCTTTGTTACCTGGGACTGGCTCCCGGGACTTGCTTTTAAGTAAGTTCCCCTGGACTCGGTGGGGTGGGGCGGGGCAGGGTCAGTTTAAGTTTTACTGCGTAAACAACAAAATGGCTGTTCAACCGAGGTGGGGCCGCTCTGGCTAAATAGGCCCTTACATTCCCCCATTTGCTTTGGAGATTAGTCAAATCCTTGACTCTTCTAGTCTCTTTTCATGGCTGCCAGCCTGTTTTTAAGGACTCCAGTGTGATTTACCCAGAAACAGCATTCCTCTCCTAGGTCTACGCAGAGCCCCCCTTTTCTTAGAAATAGTATGTCAAGCCCTAATTGTCTATATTTCCCACCTATACTTTACTAATAGGAGCAACAATGAACTTAATGAACTCATCATTTTGAGTCTTAGCTTTAGTCCACGATCAGCAGGGTCCAACGGCAAGTGGCATCCATCTCTGGAGGGCGTTCTCGTCCTTGGCTCGTTTGACCTAACCTGCACAAATCCAGGCTCCGTCGCCCTCAACTTCCACCGCCGTGGGGGTGGTTGGGATGATAGCAAACGGTCCCTTCCAGTGAGGCTCCAAGCCTCCCACTTGGCGGCGGCACATCCAAACCAAGTCCCTAGGTTGACAAGGATATGGCTTCACCTCCGTCTCTGTCCCAGTGTGGGCAGTTCAGATCCCTGCAAAGGCTCCTTCCAAGACAAACTGCAATGCCTGCAGTGACTGGAGTATAGACTGATCAGTCATTTCTGCTAGGGCAACCTCTTGTAGCCGAGGGCAGAGCGGCAGGGCGGGGGGTGGGGTCTCCCAAATATTATTTTAAATGGGGTCACCTTGTTTAAGCAGGGTGTACATCACGCCCTGAGAAGGGCTAAAGGAAGGAGATCCACCCATCCACCGCCAGTCTCCAGAATTAGCTTTGTCAGTGTCCCTTTAAGAGTCCAGTTCATGGGGCGCCTGGGTGGCTCAATGGCTTAAGCCTCTGCCTTCAGCTCAGGTCACGTTCTCAGGGTCCTGGGATCGTGCTGCGTCGGGCTCTCTGCTCAGCGGGGAGCCTGCCTCCCCCTCTCTCTCTGCCTGCCTCTCTGCCTACTTGTGATCTCTCTCTCTCTGTGTCAAATAAATAAATAAAAATTAAAAAAACAAAAAACAAAAAACAGAAGAGTCCAGTTCATTCTCCCTCCTTGCCTGGAGCTCTGGGGCCTGTAGGCACAATGTAGTTTCCAATTAGTGCCCATGGCCTTGGCCAATGCCTGTGAGACTGAACTCACAAATGCAGGGCTGTTGTCTGATCTGATCACAAGAGATAACCCAAACCTCTAGTAACTTTTGGCTACCACTCCTGCCATCTCATGTTTGGCAGAAAAAGCCTCTACCCAGCCTGAAAAAGTATCCACAAAAACTAACAGATCTTTGAGGAAGAATTAACTTTCCTGTTTTAGTCTTAGCCCAATCCCCTTCATAGTCTAATTTAGTCCATTTCTGTAAATATACTTGCATCCTTGACCAGGAGGGCTGTGCAGCAATTATGCGGAGGCAACAGGGAACCCAGCCACTACTGGATCTAGTTTCTTGCTAAGATAGGCTACTGGCCTTTGCCAAGGCCCCAGAGTCTGAGTCAAAACTCCTTCGGCCACCCCTGCCTTTTCATCCACATACAAGTGGAAGGGCTTGGTAACGTCTGGGATGGCCAATGCTGGGGTACTCAGTAAGGCTGTCTGTAATTCCCGAAATGTTCTTTTTGCCTCAGCTGTCCACTCCATCATAGTTGAGTCCTCCCTTAGTTCGTAGAGAGGTCAGGCCATCTCTGTGAACCGCGGTATCCACAGCCTACAGTAGCCCACCGTCCCAAGGAACTCCCTCGTAGAGATCAAAGACTAAGTAAGTGGCGTGGCTCTGACAGAGCTGTGTTTTCATTGCTGACACCTGATACCCTTTGCCCTGCAGAGTCTGTAAGAGAGCTCTCGTCCCCCGTCCCCCGCAAGCATGACCCATAGTCCTCAGCGGCTATTTCTGCTATTCCCACTAACTCAGTAAGATTCTTTCCTTAAAATCCTTTAATTTTCTGAAGTTTCCTCTTTATATTTGGGGCTGACTGACTGGCAGAAGCAAGGTCATCTAAACGAGCTATCGTGCAACTTCTCTGAAGTTTACCTCAAGTTGTCTAGCTTAGGTAAACAAGCATTTAAAAACAATCAAATCCAGAATTTAACACCCATAAAGGTATGTTATTAAAACATAATTTTTCTCTCTAAAATAACCCTCATTTCCAGAGATAGCCAAATCAGAACTAATTCATTTGAAAAACAAGTCCAGTTTTAACAAACTTGGCCTAATTATTTACATAGGCTCAGCAAGAACAGTTAAGTGATCATATTGATCTTTTAGAATTTGCTTTGCTGGAATTTCTTATAAGGAATCTCTAGGTTGAACTTTTAGTAGCCTCTCCGGGCCAGAAGCCAAGCCACGTACTTGCCATCAGACATGCCTGCAGTACCTGTCAGATTTGGGCGAATTACTCTTCCTGAGGTTCCTGAACCTGCCAGGAAGGACATCCTTTACTCACTTGGTGAGGCTGCTGGGAACTCTGTAAGCAAGGTATCAGGCCAACAGTTCCAAAGGGCTTTACGGCTCCAGGTTTATAAAGTCAACCTTAGTTCCTTTAAGCTGTCTGGTCATTTCTGAGTCTTTTCAAATATGACATTCCAGTCAGAGCCTTGGTAAAATAACCAGTGTTTCCAATGGTGTCCTGTTACAAGGAGAACAGATTCTTATTGAACTTATGCAAATAACTGATTGCCATGGAAGAAAGAATGCTTGCTGAGACCTTGAGTTTCAGAGGGTTCAGACAGAAAGAGTTGAATGCCTTGATTTGTTTACAAATGAGTACTTTTACATCTCTGTAAGTTACAGGTAACTTAAGAAAAACTTTCCCTAGTCTGGAGGAGCAAACATTACAGAACCAATAATTGTTTAAAACATTAAGAGACACAACATTACAATCTTTCCGTTCATCTAGTCCCATGTTGCTAATTCTGGTTTAGTCCGAATGCAGCTTTTACTTCTGGAAATTCTTACCCATTTCAGTTCCAGGATTTTAACATATCAAAGACCTGTATTTGTCCTGAAAGTCTTCCATATGAATTTTCTTCAGGGCGGAATTCATCTTACAAGAGAACTAAAACAATTACAAATGACAAAAACTCAGAATAGATATGGTTACATACCAAGTGATGACCCTTATCAAAACATTAAAACTTTAGGAAATGTATAGAACCTCTAGAGTAGTTACAGCATTTACCCAATGTAACCCAAGGTTTATCATTGGTTTAGCAGTACTCCCTGAGTAACTTAGCATATCAAGGAAAAAAAAGCCTTATGAGTCAAAGAGACCTCATTTACAACTCTGCGCAGGCAAAGAGAAAACCACTTACATTTTTTAACAGATCAATTAACCTAAGAAAACTTTGCCCTTTTAAACAGAGAGAAAACCAGCTTTTTTATACCAGTGTCTTTCCTTTTTATTCTTAAGCATGCAGTCTTAAGATAGTGGGTTTACTGGGTTTCCTTCCCATTGTGAATGATGTCGCAGACAAAAAGGAGGGGGAATCTTTCAGATGTTGTCCTGCTTGCGTCCCTCGCAGGAACTTAGGAGCGTCTTAGCTAAGGTCTGTCCGTGTAAGACCCGGACGAGGCTACTCTGTGGAGTAGGTGACTGGTATGCCATATCATGCCCTGCGAGACTCAGGGTGCAGCCCACTTAGACTCCATAGCTGAAGCAGTGGAGCCATACAGACAGATTCACACAGTCAGGCACTCTTCAAATTTAAACAGGTTGGACACCCCCCTCCCCCGCCCGGGTATCCCTGGCTAATGGGAGGTGATCAGTCTCCCCTTCCATTCTTTATGAATGGGTCTGGCTCAGACAGTGGCCCTGGGGCTTTCCTGGCTCAATGGGCGGATCCAGTCAGTTGTCCCTGCCCTCCTATGGTTGGTCCAGCAGGGCGGAGGTGAGCCTCGGCTGTCCAGGAGAGCCCAGGCTTGGGTCCGCTGAAATCAGTGGGGCACACCTAAACCCTAGGGCAGGTGCTCCGTTTGCCCTTCAAGGCCCCGCTCCTGTCCCACACCAGTGGTACAATGGGGGATGGTAATGGGGTGTTTTCACAGTCTCTCAAGGCCAAATGGCCCTTTCATGTGGAAATATAATATATATAGATGCACCTCAGGAGGGTGCTAAATCACCTTGGGGCTGTTTTTCTTTCTTTCTTATTCAAACAGGATCAGGCACCTGGTCTTTTTCTCTCTTTTTTTCTTAGTCCGTCCTGACCATACCTAAATTTTTTTCTCCTGAAGATTTTCCTTCACAAACCTGTAACTTTCCTTTACATTCAGGTTTTGTCCCAAGTCACTTTCTTCCAAACAACCATTTCATTTAGGACAAAATTACCTTTTCTTACTTTTAACAAAATGTATTCCCATTCCTTATCTTTTTTACATAACTCCTACTTTTCTACATACAGAGTTGCTTCCCTTATTTCCATCAGTCTTACACTTAACAGAATTTTGTACTCTTAGAAATACCTTAACCTCTAGTGAAGACTAAATATAAACCAATTGTGAACTGTTACAACAGAATTCTTAGAAGGCAAACTTAGGAATCAGTTAAGCACAAAACATGTTTACCAACAGATTTCAAAAGCACAAACCTAGTTCCAGCAACCAACGCTCTAGCATTTTATCACACTTGGTTTAAAGTTTCAAGTTACCAAAGACTTTGAAAGCTACTTTAACAATTACCCATTAGGGACGCCTGGGTGGCTCAGTGGGTTAAGCCGCTGCCTTCGGCTCAGGTCATGATCTCAGGATCCTGGGATCGAGTCCCGCATCGGGCTCTCTGCTCAGCGGGGAGCCTGCTTCCCTCTCGCTCTCTCTTTGCCTGCCACTGTCTACTGTGATCTCTCTGTCAAATAAATAAATAAAATCTTAAAAAAAAAACAATTACCCATTAAAACTTTGAGACAGACAATTAACCATCAGTTTAGTCATCTCTTTGTTAACAGATTTTAACAAATAACACGAGTTTATTTGACCTTAAGTAAATACTCTGAAGTTTCACATTTACTACTGTTAACTCAAAAGATATGTTCATCCTAACTAACCCAACAAACTTAACTTAGTTCAAATACTGATTTACGTTCCATCTGGGCCCACTCCGCTTTGAATATTTACCTGAGACCCGGGTGGGAAGATCCGGAGTGGGGGGTGTTAGGTCCAGGAGGCGCTCTTTTTGTTTCCCAACAGTGAAGAACAGAACAAAGTGCCACCAGAAGGCAGAAAAAGGGTTCCCAGTTCTAGAGCTCACCAGCTCCAAGAGAGGAGCAGACGCCATGCTTTCCCACCAGCAAGGGGGAGGGGCTAGTCAGTCCCCACCGGGCCAGAGTGGGCAAGGAACTTCCCCGAAACAAAGGGAGTTTCGGCAGCTGCTTGGAAATATTCCTTAAAGTCTCTGTCTCGAGTTAGACTAACCACAGTTGGCTCCAGTTATAGCCAGCCATTAACACAAGAAATGAATAAGGGAGAAGCCCCACATCTATTAGGAGGAACAGAGAGATGAAAGTCGGAGTCCTCTTACTCTCTGCTTGCCCCAATTCTTCAAACACAACAAACAACACAACAGACAACAAAAAGACAGGACAAAAACAACCGCAGACCCAGCGGTCCTC